CCTGCCCAGAAATCACAACCCCTACCCACACCGCCCCTACGCCTGGTACCCAGGCACACGCACCCATCACCAACTCTTGCCGGGGAAAGGTGGGGAAAGGGCAGGACAGATGCTGGCAGGGAGGTACAAGGCAGCAGCACCTCCCTGACAACTGGAAGAATATTTCCAGGAGATCTGGCTGAGACTCGGGACCATTGGCTCCACAGGCAACAAGTCACCTGGAGCACGAACCTGACCACTACGGCAGCGAACAGCTCTTCACTGACCGGGCAGGAAGGCCGAGATCGACTGAGGAACAGCTTACCTTGATCTTGAGGGACTTTTTCAGTTCTTTGATGACTGTCTCCCTGTCCTCCAGCTTAAGCCCCAGCCCCTCGGCATCAGTGATCTCTGCCCGAAGAGCCGCTGCCCGTAGGTCAGCAGGTGGGGTGGGCTGCAACGGAGACCAGAGGAACAAGATACAAAATTGGTATTTTACAAAGAATTCCCGTAAGTGCCGATGGGGCCGCGTGGCAAGAGTGGGACAGTTCCCGGCCTCCCTGAATCCTGCAGGCAACTGCTGCCTCTCCCCAGCTCTCTGCCCCACACCGCACCCAGAAGACATTCCCCTGCCAGGGGAGGGAGCAGCAGGACTGTGGGAGATCACAGAGCAGCTCGGATGCTCCAGCCCTGCCCGAGGCCCCTGCCACAGCTGAAGCCCACCTTGGTCTGTGGCCTATCCGCATCGTATTCTCCCTCCTGCATGGCCGTGGCCATCTTGTTCATGGTCGCGATGAGGATGCTGCAAGACTGACGCAGGCACTCGTAGGGGTTGATGCCCTGGGTGCCGTAGATCTGCAAAAGATGGGAAGAAAGTGGCAGGTGCCCCTGGGCTGGGCTCGTAGGCCCCCTCCCGACTCCCCACAACGTGCCACAGGCCCTTGAGAGGCCGCGGTCCCTTTGGTGTGGCTGTGGAGCAAAGCCAGCCACGGGGAAGGACAGCACAGAGCAGGCGACCACAAAGCCCTCTGCATTTTGGCATTCCCTGGCCATATTCCCAGGAGTTCCTTCCCAGGCTCCACACAGCTCTCCCACCCGGAGCTGCTCACGGGCAGGGCTGTAGCACTGCAGAGAGATGGGTCCCAGCTTCACCTCGCTGCAGCAGGGAACGAGGGGCAGTCGAGAAGGGGGTTTCCCACCTGCTCGCTCGCTTTGAAGGCCAGATCCTCCAGCTTCACCGCCAGCAGCCCCTCGTTCTCTGCCAGAGGAGCAATCATCTGCGCCCCAGCAGCGGCCACCTCCTGCAGCACGGCCACCACCCAGGTCAGGTGCTTGCGGCAGTCCAGCAGCGTGTCCGACACCTGAAAGTTGAGCAGAAACAGGATGGTTGGGAAAGGCAGAGACAAAGGGGCTGCTTTCCAGCTCGCTTCCCAGGCACTGGGGAAGCTCCTGGCTGCACAACATTGGCCTCACCCTGGTCTGACAGCTATTGAGATTTTAACTTGCTTCTGAAGCATCGCTAGGAAGATGGGAAACATCAGAAAATATAAAAAGGAACTGAAGGCTGGAGAAAAGTAGGTTACGAAGTCCACGTCTCCATCCCAACGAGAAACACCAAGCCCAGAGCCACCACATCCCATCTCAGCTCACACCGTTTTCCTCTGCCTGAGCAGAGCACTGCAGGGCACTGCACACCGGCACGCTCCCTCCCTGGAGCCAGCAAGGACAGCAGCGATCTGTCAGCATTTGATGCTGGCCCAGCACAGCCCACAGCTCCCAGTACGTGGCTAAGACGCGAGGGTGCCCTGCTCTACCGGCCAGCTCACCTGCTGCCCGAAGCCCAGTGCCGCAGGGATACCCGGAGCGTCCGTCCCAGGCATGCGGCGCCTGATCTTTTTGCAAAACTGGCGAATGTCACTGCACGAGGTCTCCAGGTCCTTGAGGAGGATGGCAAGGTCGGACGCCTCCTGCCCAGCCTAGGGCGCAGAGAAAGGATCTCAGAAAAACTGACAAAGGGATCACGGGCAAGGGGAACCCAGCACAACCCTCGCCACAACCCCGCAAAGCCAGCCCGGGCATGTCCTACCTGGAGGAAGGATCGCAGCCGGCACACCTCCACCCCCATGCAGTCCAAGGCACTCTGGGTGAACTGCAGAGCACAAACACGGGTATCGTCAGCTTGGGGCAAAGCAGAGACCAGGCAAGAGAGCTGCTCTGGGGCAAACGGGGGTTTTGGGCTCGGGCGTTTCAGGATAGACCCTCTGTACACCACTCTGCCACGACCCCAGGGTTTACAGGAGCAGGAAAACAGGCCGAGGCATTCAGTCAATTTTTGGTTTACTCCATGGGGCACAGGACACCAGTAATTCCCTTAGAAGCTCAGGGCAGTACAACAGTCTCTCTTAGACACTAGGTTCTCCATGCTCTCCTTGCTGCTCTTCTCTTTCTACCCAGGCATCTGCAGGGCAAATGGCCCCACGGCTTCTTCCCCCTTCCCTGACCTGGGAGCCCTCATCACCCCTGTGCCCCCCCTGGCAGCGGGAGCTGGGGAAAAGTGCCTGCAACGGGGAGAGGGGAGAAGAGGCACTTCAACTCACAGAGGGATCTCGGGGTGGGCTGGGCAGAAAGGGCAAAGGCAGAAAACACGCAGCAAGGAAAGAGTCAGGTTATTTTTCCCCACTTCACCTTGATGTGGTCGGCCAGCTGCAACGTGCAGTCCTCAGCCTGGTCAGCCAGGTGGATGCTGTACAGATGCTTGGTGGAGAGAGAGATCGGCAGAGATCAACACCCCTCAAATGTTCCCCCAGGGGCAAGCAAACCAACCAAATGAGGAAATGCATAACCAAAAACCCCAGACAGTGAGGGTTTGGCCTAATTTTGAATTGGAAGTGAAAACTCTTGTGGTGACCCCCACCAGAGCCCCTCTGAATGCTCTGCCCTCCGAGAGAGCTGGTGGCTCTTAATTCAAAGGGTCGGCAACCCTGGTCTGCAGCACAGACGTACAGAAAGGTAGGGTGGGAGAACCGCATCCGTCCTGCCTGCGTCCTCCCAGGGACAGAGAGCAGAGGCCACAGCCCCCAAGTGACACAGCCACAGGCTCAAGTCCTGCGTGCTCCGGAGGTGCAAAACATCCAAAGAAAGTGCTACCAACGAGCTTATTGAGAGCTTATCAACGTGCCAAGTGAACGACGTATCCAAGAGCATGACTTCCAGCTGTGGCGTGCGCTGGTGAGGTTGCACCTGTTCCCCAGGTCAGAAGCACCCCGAGCTTGGCCACCAGCCCGTCGCTCTCGGCTCCGCAGACCCACCTGGTAGTACTTGATGGCTTTGGTCAGCGGCTCTACGTTGACAGTCTCGTCCAGCTGGTCCTTGTGCAGCAGTTCGATCAGGAAGTCCAGGGAGCGCTCATGGACGCTCATCTCGGGGTACAGCATCCCCACCTTCTTATACACCTCCACGCTGCATTTGTTCAGGGCCCTGGTAAGGGGGCACAGACACGGTTGGCTTGGCTGGGACAGGCACACGCTCCAGCCAGCATCAATACAGGGCTTTGCTTCTGGGTGCCGGTCTCAGAGTGGCACTGGAACCCCCCAAGGACCACCAGCTGGACCCCCAGGAGCACAGTAGCTAGAGAGCAGTTAACAAAGGTCAAAACATCTGTAGAAAACCAGGGTGTGAGATAGGCTGCCTGGGAGCTACAGGAAAGGGAGCCCCAGAGCAGAAAAACCCTCCAGGCTCTAAGCCAGAAGCCAGTGCTGGAGGCAGGAGGGGACTCTGCGAGCTCCTCGGCCACGCTGGTGCAGGAGCAAAGGGATCTCTCAGCGTTCTGGTTCAAACTGAGCCACTTTACTGGTAGCAAAGCCGAGCAAGCCTCAAGGCAAGTACCCTCCCCAGCCACAGCCGTTTTGATGCCCGAAGGCATCTCCCAGCCTCCGAGGAAGGCCCTGGCTCCTCGGTGCTGTCAGGGCACTGCCCGGCGATGGGCTGACACGGATCACACGTTCAGGCTGACGCTCGGTGAACTGTTCCTCACAGGACTAAGCCCTGGGCACTCCTGGCAGAGGGCACTGGGCTGCAGGGGAGAGCCTGCTCTTGGGGACCGAAGCTCAGAGTCAACCCCAAGTGCAATCAAGCTCAGCAAGAGACCGTGATGCATCTCCTGGCAGGCTCGACGGAAAAATCAATGCAGCAAGGCTACTTCTGGCCTCAAGACATGGTCACAGCTGAAGAATGAGCAACACGTGCTAGAGAATTGGATCCCTTCATGTGTCAATTCTTGGGAGGAAAACAAAGAGGGAGTTACAAGAGAAGTGAATACCCCCATCACAAGCCAATAAATGGGATCCTTCAGCTTTTTTCTCGCCTAGCTGCCAAAATACTTTTAACTCAGAGGGACCAGGCCCTGCTGAGAGGCTGCAGACATCCTCTGTGCTTCCAGATGGTGAAGCGCGTGGAAATCGAGGGTGAGGAGAAGGGCTTGATACTCACTGTTCATATTTGTGCAGCGTAGCCTGCAGAAGGCTCAGGGAATAGACCAGCCCGGCGGCGAAGCTCAGCTGCTCTCCCGCAGCACCCCTGAGGCCGGTGCGCTCTGCGCAGTTTTCATTCAGGTCAAACTTCTCCTGAGCCTGTTTGCTGATCAGCTCAGCCTGTTGGGGAAGAGGGCAAACCTTCAGAGTCTTCCTCTGCTTGCTCTGATCTGTCCTGCTTAGCCACGGACCAGCCAGACCCCGCCTCATGCCCCCAAGAAGCAAGCTTTCCTGGGAAAGATTTCGGCACTCCAGAAGGGGAATAAGGGGGAGAGCCCCCCAGGCAGTGCTGCAAGACGGCGAGGCTCGCACACCCGCCCTGCCCGAACTGGCAGCCGCAACCCACCGGTACCACCATAGAGTGCTCTGACCGCTGACCTACCACCTCCTTCTTCCTCCTCCTCCCAGACAATTTTGAAAGTTCTCAAACAAGTAAACATTCAAAATCCCAAATTCAACTGGGACAGAAAGAAAAGATGTATTTCCCACAGAGCCGTGGCACAGCCACCAACTCCTGGTTACCCCAAATGGCACCGTGGGTTTGAAGACAAGGCTCCAAGCCCCATCAAGCCCAGCTCGGGAGATAGCCCCAGCTCAAAGCTCCAAAGGAAGAACTAACATAAGCTCTCGACAAGGCCTAACTCCTGCAGGCAGGCAGGAGCCGAGGCACCCATCCCACCTTGCAGATGAGCCGAGGGATGAGCAGCAGCACC